AGGCGGACGCAAATTGAAATCGCCCTGCTTCAAGAGCCCAAAGGCCGAACGCAAGTGCTCTTACGTCCTAATCCCTTAGCACGAAACCCTGAAATCTGAACCCTATAGTCCCCCTTTAAGTAAGTGGAATATGGGGTATATGAGGATCTTATTGTGATAGTGGCAATTCCATATACGATCTACTTCAGGGGGACTAGACCCTAAATCCTAAACCCTGTCCCAGAACCCTGGGAGGATCTAAAAATTAGATCCCCGATATAGACCCACTATAAACCCTATATAATCCTTATATAATTTCTCTTATGGTTCTAGGGGATCTAATGTTTAGATCCCTTTGGGGGCCTGGGATATTCTATCGACTTAAACCTAAAACCTAAGCCCTAAACCCTAAATCCTAAACCCTAAACCCTATATTCTATATTCTATCTACTTGAAGTGTGTGGCTTCTGAGATCCGAGCCATGGCTGCCAACTCAGCGGCCAGAGGGTTCTGCAAGGTCAGACACACGGTTTAGGGTTTAGGGTCTAGGGTTGATGGATGAAATCTTGCACCACCTAGGGGCCCTAAACTTCTGTAATTCCTAGGACTTTAGGGACCTAAGGTGGTGCAAGATTTCCTCCATCAACAGTATAACGGGGGTAATATTAGGGTTTTGGGTTTAGGGTTTAATGGGTTTATAGGGCTTGGGGTTGAGGTTTATACTGGGATAATGGCAAAGAAAATGGAAACTACCATATTGTAATAGGGTTATATCTGGGTTATATCGGGATCATGGAAATAAAATGGAAACTGCTACATAATGCTGGGCTGCTGTTGAGGAACTTCAATGAATATATCATCCCCCTATAATCGAGAATCAAATGGAAAGGAACATGGAAAATGACACGGAAACTGGGGAAATATGGTGGTATGTAAAAACCTGGGTTGCTGTCAAGGAACTTCATTCGCGTTGCCATATTATTGGTATATAATGTAGAATAAGTTGCCATGTTGTAGCAACCTAATTGAAGATTCCTGAAGAGCAGTGCAGAGAAGCTGCCCCGTCCGTCCTATCACGTATTCCCCGTGGAGACATTACAAAGTTTTTATTCACGGAGATTGAAGACTAGGGTGTGTGTGGGGGGGGGGGGGGTTCAGCATCGAAGGGGAAACATTAGAACCAGTTGCAGCTTGGTTTTGGCCTTTGGGGTATAGGGTTGAGGGGATATAGGTACCCATTGGGGTAATATTAGGGATATGTTGGGATAATGGAAAAGAAAATTATTTAGAGTTTAGGCTTTAGGACTTGAGGGGTCTCAGGATCTAAGTGGCCAATCCCAACTCCTGTAAACAAAAAGCTCGCATCAAGGGTAACGATGACCCTGCTCTGGAAGCCTTCAATGGTCGTCTTGGCTAACAAACGCTTGTGTAGGGTGTCTGGGGGTAGGGGCTTGGGGTGTAGAGCAAGGTTTTTTAAGCATAGCCCACAACAATTCCTTGCGCCCAATGCTAGCCAGACGCCCCAAAACCCAAGCCCCAGATGAGCTGGAGCCTAAACTCCGTAATGGGGGGTTATCACGCGGAATATACATCGGGGACTGTTACAGGGGTTATTAACCTTAAGCGGGATACTAGGAACTTATCCCTAAATCCCAAAAACCCCTTAACCCCAGGGTTATTAACGGGGATACTACGAATTTAGACTATGGCTTACATCTCCGTGTCCTCCACAACCTTCGGTTCAGAGATCTTCCTCGGGGGGCCTTTCTCGGAGACCCTGAGCATCAGAGAGCGCTGCCCTGCCCCTAAACAACAGTTTAGGGTTTAGGGTGCAGGGAATCCCAAAAAGGCAGAACTACAAAGAACACGATTTTTTGTCGGCAGGGGCGACGTGCCCTTTCACATGGTTTATGGTCTACGGCTTCGTGTCCCAGGCAATGTAGGGCTTTGGGCTTTGAGCTTAGGGCCTGGGGTTGTAAACATCTGGTTTAGGTTCAGGTTTAGGGTTTAAAAGGCGTAGGTTCTTTGGCAATCTTCCTGAAGGTTTCAGTGGCAAAACGTTTCGGAGGCCATCTGCTCGATAGCAAGACAACTTCATAGAAATTTTGGTGCAACAAAGTAACTGCGCTTTGCACCATAGACACCCTGCCGAAACTTGGGGGGGGACCACGAGAGAGTGAACGGAAAGGATCTGAGTAAGGCAGGAGGCACGAGGGGCAGGGGACTGGAATACAGCAAAGTTGTGGCTCAATGGGTCAAGAAAATTCTGGAATATGATCACATAGGCCGGCGCTTGTTTTGCTTGCGTGTTTAGTGCAAATGCCATTCTTGGACTGTTCTTTTGGAGTGGACCTAACTTGCACCTTACTGCACTTCTTACTTGAGCAGCCGTTGACTCCTAGTCTCTCACAAGAACGGCCACCACAATAATTCCTCAAAGGCACCGCAAGACCTGCAAAGGTGAGTACATCTCGAGAAACTGTAGTTTCTCTGTCTGCCGCTCTGAACACCGAGCTTCAAGGGCTTCAGATTTAGCAGCCCAAGCCCCACACTCCACACTCCAACATTAGCCCTGCACCCTAAACGCTAAACCCTAAGCCCGAGACCCTAAACCCTTTAAGGCGCAGAGGCCTGAGTTGGAATAATGCAGGGTCAAATGGGCAGGAAATGGAAACATGATGGAAGCTGGAATTGTGCAAAGGTTTGACGAGGTTCTTCGCATGTAGGGCCGGAAAAATCCGAACATGGTCTTCGGTAACGTTTAGGGTATTAGGGTTTAGGGTTAGGGTTTAGGGTTAGGGTTTAGGGATTAGGGCAGACTACTGTATGCTATGATTGCATAAGAAGAACAACCCCATGGTTTCAGTGCTTATTTGGGCTGTTGCAGTTCTGGTGTTTTGCGACAGGGTGCCTTGTTTTGGACATTGAATAATATTGCAGTAGACTTTTTATAGTCTTACTATCACGAATATTGCTACTGCTATATTCATAACTTCCCCCTAAAGGCTTCGTTCCAAAGACTCCGTTGATCATTGCCGATGCGCTGCAAAGGGCCGATTTAGGGTTTAGGGATAAGGCCCTGAACCCTACACCCTAAACCTTAGGTTCAGGGTTTAAGGTTGAGGGACTAGGCCATAAACCCTAAACCCTCAACCCGAAACCCTAGGTTTAGGGTTTAGCGTTTAGGGCAATGTGGAAAATACAGCCAGGGCAGGGGCTGTTGATACCACGACTTCAGCATCTCTTTGAGAAGCAGCCGATCGACCTGGCAAAACAAATCCGTCAGCCCTCTCAAGGAGTAGGGTGTGGAGTTTGGGGTTACTATTATTTCTATTTTTTCTATAATTACTACTACTATTTCTATTGCTATTTTCCGGGTAAAGTTGAGGGTATAAATTGTGGGTTGGGACTTGCGGTTTGAACTTAGGGCGCCCTTCATCAAAAGCTTGAAAATTGTGATAAAGGTCAGACGCGCCCCTACGTGAGGGCTGCCCAGAAATCTATGGACGCCGAGGAGACTGGTAATGATAGGAATTAACCGCTTTCTCACCTTTTCAACGCACCCGTTGCGTCTCGCCTCTCCCGTCAAAAAGCTCAAGAGCTCATTCCAAGTTGTACCTTAAGGTGTTAATTAAAGGCAATGGGCATGTATGGCCGCGGTCACGCTTAACACTCCTACAGAATTTATGGCCTTACGCGGAGCTATGGGCTTGGGCTCGAGCTCTAGACTCAGGAGGCCGCCCGGATGTAATTGACTGGATCTTGGGCATATACACACAGATTCATGTCTAGATCGGCATTTTGCATTCGAGGCTTTGAAGATCCAAGATGTGGATAGGTCTTTCTTGAAGAATTTGGTGGCTTCTTATAAAGTGAACGTGGGCGCAGTGCTTTCTGCTCGATGTTGGCACCTTTCACCACGTGATGATGTCACAAAGCCGGAGCTCGCTCTTTAGGAGTTTAAATACTCAGGACCCAAATAATATGGAGGATGGCGTAATCAGCAATGTTGCCCCTTATAACCGTTATATTTGCTACTGTCAAGCATGCCCCCAAGCCCTGCTTTGATGATTTAGACCATTACAATACTTCCTGAGGCACATGCGGGGTCCCTACCTTTGGCCATACAGCCATGCTTAGCGGATGCCTTGGGGATCTCATGCGGTTGGATGGACCACTCTGTTCAAGCAAAAAATATGCGACACGAAACCCCCTGCTCTGGGAATCTTGCTATGAGGTCTTCTAATCCTGAACCATGTCGAAACTTGCTGGTCCTCAAGCATGCAAGGCCCGCATGATGTCTGGTTTGGATGGTTTACAGAGGGGAGAGACGGGGGGGAAGAGAAGACTCTCTCTGGAGGAACGCTAATGGTTTGAGAGCTGCTTGGTTTCCATTCCCAAGTGCACATTTCTTCGCAATCAATCCTCTTGGGTCCGACCGGTCATGGGTCTGCTCAGCACCATTGCGCACGGACCCCAAAGAGATTCTGTCTTAATGATGGCGCATGTAATGAACAAGGAGCATATAAAGGCTTCCTGGGCGCGGCGTGGCAATGAGACCCATGATCATAGTGCATGAGGGCATCATTAGCTGCCATGGCCATCTTGAAAATGAGCAGCATCATTGGCTGCCGTGGCCATCATAGTCCAAACTCTCATTCGGCTTCAACCAGTAGTGAGCCACAATTCACATCCATACGGAGTGCTTTCAAAGGAAGATGCAAATTCTTGTCTAGGTTTAGGTTAGAAGAGAATAGGAATCAGATCTTCAAAGGAAGAGGGGCCCTCGACTCCTCATTGCGCCTGTTTGCTTGTTGATGTTAACCCCTCGTTCGAAGGAGTTTTTGGGGCAGCGGTTTCATGTTCATTGGCCAAGGTTTGAGGTAGGAAGCCTCAAGTCAACTGCAGACTGCATCATGAGCTGCATCTTTGTCTAGAATGTAGGGGGATCACGGCTAACACCTGCTCAGCTTCCTCCCTGAATTTGCGGCATCACGCCCATGCCATGTGTAAGGGAGCTCTCAGCGACCAGCTTTTAGCGACTGGTTCATCACGCGCAACTCATCGCGGATCTCCGTGAGAAGTAGATTCGTCGTCCTGCGCGGAGAGTTTGGGGATCAGGGTGTACATCACTCAGGAGGGTTTAGGGCACGAGGGTTGCCTCTACCACCGTTAGGATACAGTAGCCATTCATGCATCTGCATGGGCTGCGATAAGTGCTGCAACCCAGGCCCCGAACTCTGTAAACCTTAGGGTAATTAGGGCTCCACCCAAGGCCTCTGCGATGCGCACATGCCCTTCTAGAAAGTCCTAAACGCATGGTACCCAATAATATAGGGTTTAGGGCCCTATAATGGAGAATCAAATGGAAAAGAAAATGGAAAATTAAATGGAAACTGGGATAATATGGGTGTTATTCGTGGGCCATCCTGGCGAAGGTGCGCAAGACAACCTGAAAGCTTGACCTCTGAGCCCCGAACTCCCAAACCAGACACCCGGTCATAGCACCATATGGCCTCCACAGAATGTAACGTAGGGGCCAAACTAGTTTGGTAGGAAAGCTTTACAGGGGCATGTTCTGCTGAATACAGCTGGGCAAGGGGCATAAGAATTCTAATTTTATAATCGAATGCTTAAACCCTAAACCCTAGCCCATGCACCATAAACCCTTTGTAAATCCCGGTCCCTGAACCATGTGTTAATCCCACCTAGTTCCTGAACCCTACATAGCCCCTATAAATCCTACGCCCTGTGGAATCATCCTGAACCCTGTATGACCGCTATAGACCCTGCCCCCCATATAGCCCCGTATAACCTTTGATCCATGAACCCTGGGTAGCCCCGAAAGTCTATGCCATCTCTAAATCCCAAATCCATCCCAACCCTAAACCCTTAAAATTCCCATCCCCTCGCAATCCTCAACTCTCCGGCAGGCATCTGCTGCCCGGAGGCCCCTGCACCGGAGGGTGCCGATGCCTGGCCACCTGACTTGGGTTTAGGATCTAAGTTTTTGGGTTTAGGGGTCCTTTATGGGGATTCTGGGTTTACGGGGTGTCGGGTTTAGGCGTTATACAGAGCTGTGGTACATGGTTTGGGCTTTGGGAGTATGTAGGGTTCGAGGATTAAGGGTTATGTCGGTTTGGGCACCAATAAGTAGCACAATACAGAAGGACACGCAGGTTAATGTGCGTTTTCGGGCTTAGGTTTTAGAGTTTAGGGAGTTTTAGGGTGAAGTTTGGAACATCCAAGGGGCAAGTAAACAGAAATGGCATGACAACTGGGCGTTTACAGGGATATACGGGGCTTGGGTTTAGGGATCTCTTGCTAGTTGTAAGTGGAAACCCTCCAGAGGAGGGTTGCAAGGACCCGAAGTTTAAAACAAACTTGCGCATCTAAAACATACTGCTGAGGATGTCACAGAATAAGGAATAGAGTTTCCCGAAATACTTACCAGGTCTTCTTCATCCCTGCAAAAGATATGTTCTCGGTCATATCAGAGAACTAGAAGTGTAAGTTTCTCAACAAGTGTACCATAGAATCCGTAGACAGATGCCAGACGTGGTCCTATCTCCTCCGAATAGCTATGTATCCTTCAGGGTGCCCGATGTACTTTGAGAACGCGTCCAACTTGTAGCAAATACCTTGCGCTCAACTGTGGATCGTAGTGGGCGACTTGGGTCCAGAGGGATGGATTAAGGGGTTTAGGGTTTGGGGTCTGGGAATGTCTGGGAGAAGTCAGCATCACATCCGATTCCTCTCCCTACTCAAAAATCTCATCCTGAGCCGTCATCCTTTCTCGTAAGCGAGCTCATCACACGCTGAACCCAGCCGCTCTAACTTATACTACCTCCATACTTGAAACACATAGGCTCTACCCTACTGTGAACCCTGAGCCCTAATCCCGGAAACCTACCAAAACCCAACACGCAAGGCTCGCTTCCCTGATCTTCCGAAAGAGCTTGTGAAAGCCGACGACTCGTAAGTTCCTCTTGAAAATCACCGTCGGGCAATCCCTCCTCTATGGCCTCAATAACATAATTCTTACTAAACCCTAAACCCTATTCTTACTAATTTACTATGAAGTTTCAAACAGGGCTGAAGGTGCTTCAAAAGGCACGGCGCAATGCAAGTTGAACCC